CTTACCGTGCAGCAACTCTCCACCATTGCCACGGGCAGTAAGCAGGAACTGACCCATGCTCAACATCCAAGGCTGTTTGCTGTACCAATGTCTACGATTACGAAGGCTGTCAGAGGTATTGAGCCTCTTAAAGGCCCAATCAAGCGAGCCAGCTCGGAAAGGTTACGGATTGCCGCTCCTGAGGCCGACAGGAAGATCATGTGTGCGTCGGCTCAAGATCCCAGACGGGCATCTTCCGATATAACGGCCGAAATATCGACGACGGCGACGTCGCAAAAAGTATCTGGATTTCTAAAAAACAAACGAGCTCGTCTTTATTGGGCGCGTGGGCACCTTCACTGGACCTTCAACTAACGACGCGAAGTCATCTAAAGCGATTAGCCGAAGATTGTTTGGCTTGGTACACCTGGGCTTCGTTCGTAGACGACCTTTCAAAGCACATGTTCCTACCCCAAGTACCATTTGACAACTCTCAGGCACGGTACCGGCTCAGTATTGGTTTGGGCATGGTCTCCGAATCTAGGCATGGGGTCCATGCGCCATATTCTCACCACTGCTGCCTAGCAGATGTTGTAGACATTTTGGAGAAATCCACACTACCCCTCTCCCGTCGTGTGCACGAAAGAAAATTTAATTCCAGCGAGATAACGACACCAGACACAGATCTAGAAGGGGCGCGCGAGTGGTTGACTCATCGGGAAATTCGATGCTTTGACTCACCCAGCCAGTCTCCTGACCTAAACATCAGTGGACCCTCGTGGTGGGAACTGAAGAAAAGGATAGGCGATAAAACAGTCACAAATGCTGCTCAAAAGTTAGGCCTATTTGAAGACGAATGTAAGAAAATCGATGGGTCTCTGAACGACAAGTTGGTCGGATCAATGCCCTGCAGATGCCAAGCCGTCATCGATGCCATCGGCTTCATCACAAAGTATTCAACTAGTAGTTAATTAGGCTTTAATCTCATGATGATAGTGTTCAAGTCAAGTGATTTATTTCAAATTTTTGAAACTGATATTATTTTGTCCTGTTCAGAAAAAAATGTGAAAAGTGGCCTTCTGAACGGAACAAAAAGGAGTTTCATGGGCTCTGTGATGGGGACATTGAATTTCATTACTGTTGACAACATATCAAAAAATTAGTCAAAAACATTAAGTTCGAGATGAGTTATGGCAAAAAAGGTTCGAGGTGATTTCTTTTTGAACGCTACTATATCAAATGGAACTCTACGGTAATATACTCAAATGAGGGGCACTGAAATCGAAATGGTCAAAGGACTGAACGCCATACCGTTCGCTATAAATTTGAATCCATTCGCTATGCAATAAAAAAAAGGTAAGAATGATAAGTGAACCAACTTCTATATCATCGTTGTCACTGCTTTCAGCTTGCTCGCTGTGATCGCTAGACTGTATCTCTTCTTCAACTCTCCTCATTCCACTACCGGTACGATCGCTATGACCGCTGTCATTATTATATGCATCATCGTCAACACTATCAACGTCTTCATCGTCATCCTCATCATCGTCGACATCTACGCCATCATCATCAGCATCATGATCATCATCATGGCCACCATCATCCTCATCAACGTAACTGTCGTCGTCGTCTTCATCATCATCAACGTCACCGTTACCCACATCTACATCATCACCATCACTGGGTGTTATGTTGAGAAAATCCTCATTTCTGTTAGATTCCATGGTGAGAGTGAGTGAAAGCGGATCATCAGGATACATCTCCTGAATTGAACCAAAAATAATGGCACGTTTCAATACATGACGGATAAAGATGCACTCTTTTTTTTCAGAGAAGACTGTGTGCTAGTCAATAGATCTTTGACGCCTATGAGTGAGCAGGGAAGCGCAAATCAAAATTTCTTATCACTGCCCAGAACCAAAAATTACTACACCTTTTTCCTTGAATAGATAATGAGAGAATAAATCGATTTTCTAAGAGCGTTTTAAACTCTACAGAGTGGTTTCAGAAATTGATACTTCCGCTCATTCATTTGAAATAATTCAGAACCATGAAAAAGTTGTGAAAAAAAGAACTTGCTGAGGGCATGAAAAAAATTCTGAATGCACATTCTTGCAGCTCCTATGCAGCACCCTTGTATTTTTTTCGGACAGAAATTGAGCCGAGTTTCAAACATGAGCTAAAAGTGTAGTCTTGGTATGAAATCTAATGCAACGTAGAAACGTTGGAAAAATTTTCAGATCAGCTTTAGCAGAACAACCCACTTCATTTTGACAAACTACGCGCTCCCGCTACGATGTTTGAGTTCAAGTCCAAACGAATTTCATGCATCATGTAGGTTAGCCATCTTGAAATCCGCAGTGATTACATGAAGTTTATATTTTAAAGCTAATGGTGAATAAAGAAAATCTGTTGGCAGTTCACTGAACATAGAAGTGAGGAAATGCCTGGACAGTTGATAAGACAAAGTCAAGTAAAAATTATCAGACCAAAATAATAGCTGTGTACATATATAAATAGGATGCAAGACAAAACAAATAAAAATGACCAGTCACCTCATCACTTTCTCTTGATGTTTCCCGAACCAGAGCGGATGAGTGTTGTGTAGGGGAACCAACGATGGAAGGGGATCTCGCGCATAAAATTTCAGATTAGTTATGAATCGACAAAGAGTAATAACCTGCAAAATTGCGAAATAGCTGAAAGAACGAACCAGCTCGGATCCTCCGTGGAATAACAGACTGGGTGAAGCTGGATCCTAATATACGTTCTGGAAGCAAGAAAAATCAGTTTGCATGCTCCTTCTCAATACTCATTCGCATCGCGACCGTGATCGGAAACATTATGGTAGTATGTAATAATGAAAACACTAACAAAACAGTCAACACTGATGATATTCTGTCTTTGCTGCTTCTCCGTTTCCCTCTTGATAGCGCCTATTCTTATCTACTGACTTGATTCCATTGAACTCGTTGTCGGGACTTTGTCGCCTCTTCGGACATGTAAAAATGAACTCAGGCTGCATTCTCCATTCATTCAAAGGGAAATCCGAGTAATTGTTGAGCCCGGTGTGTTGTGTAGAGGGTTACCCATAAGAATTTAATGGACGGCGTAACCATGGATCCACTCAAAACCGGCCGCCACACCTAGCATTCCCTCGTCATGCGCAATGAGTTGATCGACTGTCTCGCCCACACAACATGCCTTTTAAAAACAACATGACCTATCTTAGAGACAATCGAAACATAACGATTCCGAAAAAGATCCTTCGCAATTTCAATTTCGGTATTTAAAGAACTGCGGATTTGTCTTAAATTGCTCAAACAGGCACCGAATTTGCTTATAACTCTTCACTGTAGAAAATGTTTAGTGGAAAAATGGTAGTTCCTGTCGTGGTTCTATTACTGCTAGGAGGAATTTCGCGCTCACAGTGGATTTGAGTGCAATGCAATGATTTGGGTGATATGGATCACTTTCATCGCAGTTGTTCGAAGAAAATACAACCCTGGGCAAAATAAATAGCAACATTGAAGTTTTCAGCAATTACAATAGGACAAACTTGTCAACACTAGGTAGAATGAGGGTTCTTCCACTAGAATTATCAAGTAGAGATGCAAGCATAAACTACAAAATGATGAATTAACCAGACGCTAACGAAAGCCCTCATTACCGACAGTAGTTTGGAATTACAGAGCGAAAAAACAAAAAGCACAAAGCGATTTGTAACATCAAAATTTACCTAGTTGCTCTTCATCTAAGGTATCTTCCACAGGGATTGGTTCGAGAACGACCTCTGCTTGGAGACGTCTGGCCAACTGGTAATCGAGCCACTCCAGTTCTTCTTTCGAAGAACAACTAAATAAGAAAACGGTTGCTCAGCCATCGTCTAAACACCACTAAGAAAGCTCTTGCGCTCCAACGAAAATAAAACAAAGGGTTAAGACAGACACACTCTTAGCACTGAAAGAATGCAGGTATTTCAAACAGCTTTCGCGCAGACAAATTCCTATTCCTAATTCTGCTAAACGATGTCTTATAATCATAAATAGATCGGAAATTTACGGTAAGGGCGAAGCCACATTATTTCTAGAAATCAATAGAGGTCTTCAAAATGTTTCCTCTTCAGAATGTTAAGGATGCGATGAGCAAACGTTGAAAAAGAATGGATTTAAATACTTTCTCAGCGCCTTCAGGTGGTTTGATGGAGAAGTGGGGAAGTCATCAGCAAATCGAACACCACTGTGAATACAGTTGAGGGAATAGTTCGCCAAAGTATGGAAATAAGAAAGCCCCGGCTAATTACAACTTGTCTCGCCAAAGCGCAAGTATTACTCCGTTCGTATGAGTTTGGTGTGTTATCGCGTCTCTTCTGCCACAGATTTCATTACACACTTCATTTTCATTCATTCGGTCGGAATTCATCCGCGGGACGCGGCATACGATAGTAATGGAGACGAATAATTGACGTCCAGCTGTAACACATTTTTATAAGAATTGGGAATGAAAAATGTTCGTGGAATGGTTGAAGTGAGCCGACGGCATATAGGCTATGTCGTAGGATGAGGTTGCAATTTGATGAATCAAAAACCAGTACGAAAACGCGAGATTATTTGACCACAACGTCCTGTTTATACAGCACATTCAGAAAGGAAATATTCCGAGCCACGCCTTTATGGCAATATTCGGAACAACATTTCCTATTGTTTCGCTGTTGTTTGTAATTGGTTTAAGCGTCACGAAGGGTTCGAGCCATGCTACAAATAAACAAGTTGGACATCCGCAAGTCTCCCAACTCTCCGGGATGGATTAATGTGTACAAGATTCATCTAGAGGAATAAAAGCACCAACTTGTGATCGGCTCGCCATTGCAAATCACGGTATAGGCACTTACTTATTCGAAAGGCCCCACGATTCTGAAGGAAGTCGAATTCATGGACACATCTTACAAACAGGATTGATAAATACTGAAAGATTTCACGTTTAGCGATTCATGATAGTTCATTGTTACACATTAGACTACAAAATAGGAACTGCAACTGGTTAAGACCGAAAGTGAAAATGGTAGGTTTCACGAGATATTTACAGGCGTAAATCTAGCGTCCACACATCGATGAATTTTCAATGGGCATTTTTGCTGTAGGAGACCTTGAAAAAGAACAACATTTCTCGACCATTCTAGCATCCGCCACACCCTGATTAGACCCCACCGGCTTTTCTTCCGTGGTACCCTGAAGCAATGCCAATGAAGGCATTTCGCGCACCATACCGAAACTTGAAAAATGCTCCAGCCCTTCATGTCGGCTATTACGACAGGTTTTCTGTACTGTATTCAAGATTTGTAGTAATAGAAGCGACTGTTCTCGAGGTCAAAAAAGCTTTTAGAAAGGCCTTAACTTCAAGAAATGAAGTAATGAACCGGTTTGTTGCTTAATGAAACTCTACGAATTTATCTGCGATTAGAGATTGCCATGATGAATCTGTGACCCTCATTTCCTCAAGATGTGAATACAAATATGCTCTCCTGCACGATCTCCGAGTGTTTTCAAACACATCACCATCGTACGCTACACATCGGCAGCAAAATTTCGGACAGAGTTACAATCGCCAATGAGGCGGTCTAAGTGATTTTAGCAAGAACATTTGCGTTGACTAGTAGGTTACAGATTTATGAGTGGTGAAAGACGACAGCGCTTGTTCCGATGAATCTCAAGAGTGTGCAGACTCGTACGTATTGCTCTCCTCTTGACTCGCGAGAGGAAAGGTCTCCGTCATCTGTAAAGAAGATAGCACAATCAGCTCGCTAGCATTAGTACAGTAGTGTTAGAGAGAGAAAAAGCATTCAAGTAGTTAGGAGTGGCCTTCCTCAAATGCTCCATCTGATAAGCTATCGTGGGACATGTGCAACAAATGATTGCGTTACTACGGAACTCTAGCTCACCACTCCGCTGCTACCAAAAAAGAAAATATCCATTGATTTGTAGACTGCTTCCTTGAGCAATATTGGTAGCTACTTACGCTCTACCTTGTAATGATAACCGGCGATTTTCGCGCAAGTTATATTCCACGAGAATCAGCACGCCCCATCGAGCATGACCGATCTTAGGCACTGCACATGGTAACAAAATTCACCGAAGCAGTACCTGTGTATGAGAAACCAGAACTCACTTGAGCAAGCATGCCGAACGACCATGCGGAGAAATTGCTGGTGAACTAAAGAAAGTTGGCATACATCCAACCGAACTGGTTTCTGACAAACCATTCACACTCATGTAACGAATCCCTAGGAATGCTTCATTGCCGATAACTAAGTAGGGAAAAAGAAGTGGACGATCTAGCAACAGGACTCGACAAGATTAAGCGAGTGAAATAAGGAGTAAGAAGAAGTGAAGACTATAAAAATTGAGTACCAATAAGAAATACAAAGACCATTCAGCCCGCACCCAGCTTTCCGAAACCGCAGCCCTTGCCATCTGAAGTACATACCTCAGAGAATTGAAAGCGAGGCACAATGCGCTTCTGGAACAACAATGCTTGGAGTCTCTTGACGCATGCAAGTGACCAGAAGATTTCAGAGATTCAAGCTTTGACGAAGATCACAGCGGTTCCTGAGTGAATCTTTCGTGAGATCAAAAGAACATTAGAAAAAGCCTGGCCGATGTTCCTTGAGTTCTTTGGAAGAATAAAGGTAATCAACTAGCAAACTCGTGTTCGTTCAAGCAGACGGGAGTTTCATGTCCGGAGCAGAGAAATGAATACCTCGAGGAGGTAGCTGAAAAAATTGCTGAGGTGATGAAGGTAAAGTGAACGGACTAGCCCTTAGATATACTTACCACTACATCTTTTAAGCCAAATCTAGTTCATTCCATTTTTAATAAGTATCAAGTTGCTCTCAAGTTGCACAGAAACTGTATGAACCAAAAATACAAACCAATAGTCCATGAGCTTAAACGCTTTCGCTTGAGCTACACTTTTTTCAACCATGTGACTGAGAAGAGTGGTGATTACGAGCACATCTACTCGAAAATTCATTTTTCTTCATGAACTGTTCCACAAAGCGAAAAATTCTTCATAGGTTAGGAACCCATCTGACGGCACACCCCTTCTTGACTAATAGCCAACCTTCACGAAAGATCAGTAATACATATGTAATACGGTTTTTCATGCGGAAAAAAGACTAAGAATTACTGGGCTGATGCATAGATATGTCTATCTCAATACAGATACTCGATACTTGTGAAGCTTATCCATCCAAACAAACCTCTCATAGGAAAGTGGAGATCTCGATCGAGAACGCACACGGTTTCCAGCAGTCGTAGTCTGACTAGTTCGATCACCTGCATCTTTGAGATTGATCACTTTTAAAACTGAAGACTGAACATTGAACTAACTTCTCAATGGATACAGATGCCTCTCGTACGAATCCGATCCTCTCCTAGACATGTAATACACAAAGGAAAACTAAATCAAACAACTTTTGAGAGGTTGAAACAAACTCTATGAAAAAAAAAACAGCGGTAGCGTAGTGAGAAAACAAAGTATAAAATTCCATAAGGAAAGAGGAGTCCAAAAAACTTTATTGACCTACGTAAATGATACACTTTGTACAATATACGATACAGGTCCACGATTACTTATCGTTTATAGAAGGAAAAAATGAAATTATTTGGAAAAGCATCGACGGGGTTATATCGATCATTCCTCAACAGCTCGAAGGTCTTCCTGTAGCGTTCTTCAAAGACATCCTGTTCAGCTTTCAGCTAAATTTATCAAAAAATAGCTGCCATTACGGCACAAGAAAAACATGTGAAATGAATGGAGTATACAACAAATATAAACCCTTTCTTATATCAACCCCACATACCTGTTGCAGTTTTCTTTCTAACTGCTCTCTAGCTTCCGTTAAATCTTGAGTTTCTTTGACTCGACTTGTTACATCATTTTTGATCTTGTCCACATCTACTCCTATTGAGGGAGTCCAATTCAGAGGAGCCTCCAACTGAAAGTTTTAATATTGGAAACCACGTATGAAAAGTACCAGCAATGCTAGACAGGGATCCTTTAGGCTCACCGTACGTATGAATTTATCCCTGCATTCCTCCTTTTTCATATCCGCAAGAACCGCTGGCAACGATGCACGACATCTTACAACCTGCAAAAATGTGAACTAATGAGCAATATTCTTGATGAAAAAAACGCTTATTTAACATAGTTCACTATGTTGTCAAAATAGAATCATGATGGCGTCGGCGATGCAAAACCCTGATTGCACCTACGACTTGTTTTACAGTTTTCCTTTATAGATCCTTCATAATTGATTTTCAGTCCACTGAAAGTCGCTATCGAGCAATGTGATTCTTGTATTCACTTTACGACTTAACCTTCCAAATGCTCCGCCGATCTCCATAGACTAACAGATCGACCCACTCCTTTTGCATGTTATAGTTTCAACCATATGAGACACAATAATTTGTCGAAAATAGACTAGTATGAAAGCTCAAGATACTAGTCCAAGACGAAATAAAACTTGTTCTATATACAAGAAAGTGCAGCTTTTTTGGCACTCGAACTATAGAAGGTTACGGACTGTTCTACCTGCACCATAAAATTGAAGCTCAAGGGCCAAGTCACAAAATCGGAGGCTACGTTCCATTTAAAAACCTCTATATCCCAAAAAGGTACGAGGTACCTCTAACGATGTGATGGGTCCATAGTCGTTGATATCATCGGCCAACCGCGGAAGATATTGCGATGCACTTTCACAGAATCGCCTTCTTATAAGTCAGAAAGGAGGCTGTTCATATAGCATGAAAAAGTATGTCGAGAAGCTCTTCGGTGGTCCCGCCCCTCTCTGGATGATGCTTATGCTATGCCGCAAGAACCAGAGTCCTCTAACAAGTACGATAACACCTCCTCGAGCAGAATTTGTAGTTGATAACAAGTTGAAGAGCATTTTGGTCAACAAATTGTTTAACCTTTCCCCCTTAAACATCCGAAGCCTACTTCGAGCTAAGAATCCTGAATTGCTCTTCGCTCCAATTGAGCTGCACTCTTAATCTTACGGTAAAGGCAAGAAATATACATTTCTGTGTTACCAAAACAAGTATATAAATGAACAATATTAAGCGTAAAAGAGTTTTGTAAGCGTCAGGAACGCCTTTCACGGGAAAACAAAACGAACGCATGCATCAAGGGCTCAAACCTTCATGTCATACCTACACGTCCACCGCCCTACCAAGTGTGCTACCATTGCACAACAGCGTAACTGCCCGGTTCGATTACCTGTCCGATACAGTGGGTATAACGCGGGGAGATCGGTTTCGTAAATTGAGTTCTCAAGTTCCCAAATTTGAATCGTTCCCAGAATTTCCTCAGAGGGTACAACACAACTCATTTTGAAGGGCCGCGACCAAGGGTTGTTCCCTTGTGAGGCACGTTTCACTCTGAATGTAA